AAGAGGTGCATAAAATATGCAAGGAGTAAAAACTTTGTTCAAAAGTAAACTTGAGTTGACTTCAAAAAGTCCTTGCTAAGTCAACTCAAGGACCAACTCCAATGAGACTTTTAACAGCCTACTATGATCATTACTTTTGATGAACAAAAAAGAATTGATAATGAATGTTGCGGTTGATGCTGAAACTTAGGGACCCCATTTAAATCTATAATACCTACTAAAATTCACACATACTTTGTTACTAATAACATTAACCCTAAAAAAACCCCCTAACGAAAAGGCCCAAAATTTTTTAAAATTTCATAATAAAATAGGTTAAAATTTCAGCATCAGCCGCGACTATGAATGTTTAAAAAACGATATTGATGAAACAATAATTTAACATTATTTTTATTAATAAATAAACTAGACTAAAAATATTAATCTACTTTTGAGTACAGTTTGTGGAAGATTTTGCAGAGTATCATAAAGAGAAAACGAATCTTGTTTATCAAGAAATCAAATATATCCAAAGCAAAATTTATAATGGTTCAAACGATGTACGTACGTACGTACGAGAAATTGATTCTCATTTATTAAGGGAATCGTCACACAGTGGTCCTAATGATCGTAGAGATTCCATCGATTTGGCTTGTAAACAAATTAATCGAAAAATTAAGAAAAACAATTAGGTGGTAAACTGGAAATTCAAAGAATCTATCTAATTGTCAAACAAATATTTTAAAATTTTATAGACTTTTTGTACAAGAAATAAATAGTGTTATAGCCTTTGAGTGGGCTGATATAGGAAGTATAAAAGAATTATATGAAGGTAATGATGCCAAAATGTGATGGTGAGTTATTTAAATTTGTTTAAAATTCTATTATTCGTTAACTCTTATTCATTTAAAAAGATGACAGCCAATGATGAAATAAAACTTACGAATTTTAAATATTCAATTCCGAAAGCTAGTTACCTTAATTCCCGATACTGCATGTATAATCGGGTCTGTATTATTTCACCGACAATCACCTCGAAGAAACGCACCACCAAAATCATGTACGTAATCGGTTGTTTAATTCAGTCCAAGCATAAAATCACGATATTTTCGAATTTATTATTATTATTATTAAAATTATTTATTGGAATTTATTTAATTACCACTGCAAATTCTAAGTCGAATTACTTTCAATTAAATATTTAATGCATTTACATTTAATTTAAAAAATTTTTTTAATACACATATAAACTTTAAATGCTACCAGTAAAATGTGTCTTTGTTACGACCTCTCCAAGTTTAGAAGTTTTTTGCTCGTTTAAAATCTTTAATGTCATCCACCATTTTTGGATAGGTTTAAAGTTCGATTCAATGCTTCGAAGCCAGTTTTTTTATTTGGGAAGATTATTAGATTTTTCAAGACATTCGAGAGTCTAAAACATGAAATATATTTATATAAACATGAAAATAAAAAAAAATTCTTAATGATTGACCTTGTGAATCCGAAAATGAAAACATATAATGAGGAATCGAGTACTGAAGATAGTGAATCCGAATCTGAAAATTTAAATTATCTTGTGCATGATTAATTAAAGTTGGTCGAATATTTTCCCATAAGTTTCCTTAGCTTCCGAAATAAAAGGATACTGAGAATTTCGTTGCACCTAAATTAAAATAAAATTAAATTTGAAATATAAAAAAATAATATAATAACAGACCTTTCGAAAAAATGATGTATCCATCTTCCCAAGAGGATTAATAAGGTGTTTGCATAATAAAAATCTGATTTTTTTCATCCTTCTTTTGACAGTTACGCCAATAGGTAAATGAAATGGTCTTGATTTGTTTATTATTGTATTTTTTATGTATAATCATCTCCTTTTTCACAGATATTTACGATCTCAAGTGTTAATGAACTTGTAAAAACTTCTTCGGTGTCATTTACTTCCAATTCATGAAGTATCCACAGCTATCTCAAGATTCATATGCATATTGCTTTCTTCTTCAACATTTTCATGAACTATATGCTTAATCTCTTCGGATTTTACAGCATTTTCTTTTTGCTTGCAAATATCCTTAAAATTTTTGGCTTTCATTTATACAGTTTGAACACTCAAAACATGTTTTTCGATTACTTCGAAATGCAATAATGGTTTTATAGTTCGAAAAATAAACAAAGTTTTGAATTTTCCATTTTACGATATTCAAAAAAAAAATTTTTAACCGTAAATAGTTATTCTTATTATTACGTATATTATTATTATTATTATTAATCAAATGTCGCATCAATTATTAAATTTAATGTCGGAAAATAATTTTAAAACCCGATTACGTACATGATTTTGGTGGTGGGTCACCTCGAAGACACCACCTTTTACCGAACCCATCTTATCGACAGCTTATTTTACAGACGACAAATTTACCAACAAGTTCATTTAGTAGACAGTATATTTCATCGGCAGCTTATTTCACAGACAAGATTTTTTTATAGACTTCACTCAAATTCTAAACCTACACTAACGACAATGACTAGAATTACTTCGTCTGTGAAATGAGCTGTCGATGAAATATACTATCTACGAAATGAACTTGTAGGTAAATTAATCGTCTGTAAAATAAGCTTTTCGGTAAAATATGTTCGGTGAAATGTAGTGTCTTCGAAGTGATTATCGTATAATTAGCAGGCATTATTAAACCGCTGCTACCAGGGTATATCGTTTATTCTAACATGATGGAGTAGAACAGATACACCGTAGTGTCTATACTACCCTTAGTCTAGTTAAACGCTTAAAAAGTGCCCAGGTTCTATATAATATAAAATTTATTTTTATTTTTATTTTTTTTCTCTTTCTCTATTCTTCCTTTCTCTTTCATTTTACTTTATTTTTTTTTTTTCTCTCCTCTTTACATTATTTCTTTTATCTTTTCTTTATATAATTTTTTTTTAAAAAAAAAAACTTCTTCGACTAACAAACCGTTCCGAAATCTGACCATTATGCCCTGTACCTATGACCTAAGAAGAACCAAGAATTTAGGCATTTTTTTTTTTATTGAACTAAAACTTTGGTCAAGATCTTTAAGCCCCGCACTTATAACCTAGACAACCTTACACAAAGCCATTATATGAGTAGTTAATTAAAAAAAAAAAAAAACTATAAAAGCGGTGGAAGAACCACGTAATCGATACAAAAAAAATGCCAACAGAAAAAGAAATGATACTCCAAGACCTATTGGCGGTTACTCCCTCCATAGTCATTGCTAAACCTCGTCCATATAATAAAACCCAAGACCTTATAACTCAAATTAATTTGATCTACAATCAAATTATGGAAGCCAAGACTCGTAGTAACCCCACTGGCATCTTGGTTCACGCCTACTACCTAGAAGAAAGACTCAGCACCATAAGTCCTGCTGACAAGGTGCTTCTGCAACAAACCCAACTTTCCGCCTACTATATGTTGGTATCAAAAAGGATATATTATTTGTTCAGACCCTTGGGGGTCGAACAACTTTACTGGGCCAGTCATACTACTCTTACCCGGATCAAAAAACTCACCGTCCTCGAATACAACGAATTACTCCACCTAATTCCCATGGAACGAGTTCTCTCTAGCGGGGGAGAACTGTGAGGGGCAGATTGACCTTAGTAGTCCCATTTTGTTTTGTTGCCCTCAATATTTCTATTTTAGGTGGTACGAATTGTAGGAATTCTTAAAATTCTCTAGATTGTAGGAATCCTAAAGATAGCGAGAATAATAATTATTCTCATTATAAAGAAAATAGTTAGAATAGTGTAGATTCGAAGAATTCCACTATATGTAAAAATAATTATATAAGAAGAGCTTTTCTTTCTTAATAAAGGAGCAGTTAAGTTATACTTCGAAATCATAACAGTAGAAGTACTTATCTTTTCCCCTTTTGCTCCTAAATAAATTATCCAAATAACCTCTTCGCTGTCCCATTAATATTGAGAAAACCTGATTGTTACATCATATAGTCCAATTAGAGTCTTGACCTTTGAAATTAGAGTAAAAGGGTCGACTCTGTGTTCCATATAGAAAACCTTGACCCAAGTCGTTCAACTCATTAGAAAAATAATAAGAATTCAATAAAGATAAAACCTTCTTATAAATACTTAACCTTACCCGTGACGCATTGTTATCACTAATTAGTATAACAATCGAATTAGTGATCAAAGTATTCTTGCATATTAATTGCATCGATCAGCCGAATTTCCCGTGACATCAGGTGCTCGTGACCTCATCGATCAATTGAAGATCCAACTTCCGACCTCAGCTAATATCTA